ATGTGGAACAAACACGCGGCTTAAAATTTCAAGGTCCACCTTCATACTAATCTATACAAAGTTTGCTTCTGTTTAGAAAATTTTCGAAAAAGACGCTGTGAGTTCTTGATAGTGCTGGTGTTGTGAAGTACCGTGTTGTTTGACGTGACCCCTTGTCTTAGAACTGTTTTTCAGTCGATCAAAATTTCCAACAAAATGCATATTTTCTCAGTTCGTAATCTTTGGTATTTGATTAATGGTCGTAACTCTATAGTGTATTAAGTGTTTTTTACTCTATCTTTTTTTGAGAACTAGACGAAATCGGCTGGTCTTGTGTTGATGGGTCTGTACTAGGGGGATAGAAAGCGCTCCACCCGTCGGGTAATCGTGAAATGTATCGTTCAGTAGATAGAAACATCCAAAGTGACACACCAGGAGTTATAATTTTCAAAGTCACTCTGGAGTTGAATATCCAAATGTTAGTATGGAAACTCTGGAGCTCTTAGCCACCTAGACCCAGATGGAGATAACCCATCTCTGTATACACCCTCAAAAATATGCCAATTCAGAGTCGTTGATGTGAAGAATTTTTCACATTTGGAATCGATAAGTCAACAGGTTTAGAACCTTCTTTGTATTCCAGTGGGAAATGGAGGAGGAGACAGCCTGTCAGGTGCTTACCTATTCCTTCCCAATGGTGAAGCGACGCCATTATCTCAAGATGTTCAAGAGTTTGTGGTTCGTTTTTTTGAGTTCGCGTTGAAAAACCTCTCTTACTTCTACTTGTTCTCCGATTCGTTATTTGCTATTTGATTGCGCTGTAATCATTTCAGGTTGTCAACGGGCCGATCATCAAGAAAGTGTACGTTGTAGGACCAAAAGACGTACCACGGACGTTACAAGTCTATTCTCTAATGATAAATACTCCTTCTATAGAAATAGTCAACATGAGTTGACATACGGTATGTTGTCCTTAGTCCTTTCCGCAAGCATAGAATGTACATTACTCGTAATATGCGTGAGAAAAAGCGCCATTCGCGACGGAACTGTGCGGTCCCGCCCACTGACCGCGCACTCCAAACTTCTTTTTAAGTTGGTGATCTTGATGCTTTCGTGTTATGCGTACTAACTCTCTCCATTTCGAATGTCCACGCCCTTTCTCCGCTTTCAGCACCTACAAACGCGGTTCGGCATGAGGTTCTCTACGAGGCGTTCCAACTGATTTTTAGTTTCTCTTCACATTCTGTACTTTACAGTGTCATTACGTATGTGAGCCGCACAAACCATACTCTTTCTGTGCGACCGGGATCCGGGGGGGGGGGGTGGTGCCGCCTTCAAGAGTTTATGATTAGAGCTGTAAGGCTGCTGCGAATAATTCATCTCCTACTTTTCTCTTCAATGTAATGTTAGCCAAAGTGTTGTGTCGATCAACCAGTTTAAAGGACAGCGCCCTGCGCTCATCCAGCCCCCAGCTAGAGACTGCCCCACTCTCGCGACTCCACAGTGAGCGAGAAGCGAGCTATGGCCGCCGAAAGTTCTAGTTCTAACGCCCGCCTCGTTGACGCCACTTGCTAGATGCCCTACGACGGAGGGCCGCTCAGTTGTTCTTTGTTGGGGCGGCGGGCATTAATCGGAAATTGCATGTCCTTTTTGCTGACCGCGCTCGTGCCCATGAATAATTCTGCTCTCCTTTTCATTACATTTTATAAGGATCAGCGGCTACACTGAACCCATCAGCAAGATAAACGCCAGAAAAAATCACGAGTGATGCTTTCGGCTGGTGCAAGGCCAAAGACTAGACATGCCACTGAATGACGCACGCTTACGTAACTCCAAACTCGTACGCAGAGTTTTCGAATTTTTTTTTGTGTTTTCGTCCGTGTTTTTGTTGTTTTCGTATTCTTTTCTTTGCATTGGATGATATTTACTACTGGGAGATGCGATAAAGCGATTTGTGAGCCAGGGGTTGCACAGAGACCGCAGGGCGGTGTGACTGTCAGGGAGCGATTTTGTTTATGGTGTTCTTGAGGACTCTTCTTGCTTTTTTTTCTTCTTTGGGGAATTACTTATCAGCTACTGTTTCATAATTGAACAGCAACTATCCATGACACTTTTATCGCGGGAGCTGTCTTTAAGAAAGTCTTGTGCTGCCGCGACTTGGTATCCATGACACACCCTCACTCATTTCTGGTTTCAGATCCACAAAGAATTACGAACTGGCAATGCGTATGGATACGAACATTCAGAGTGGCAGTGACTTATACACCGATCTGAATGGACTTCAAGTAAATCACCATTCAATTATTTGACAGTGGAAACTGAGAGCTTCTTCTCCACCAAATGCTAAAAGTATCCAGGCTTTCAGTATGCTCTTGATATCCGAGTACAATTACAGATTATTCGACGACGACGACAACTTGACAAACTACCGCTGCAGGCTCATTTTTACCCGATGCCATCCGCCGCTTACATTGAAGACACTTCTACAAGACTTTCTCTACATGGAAATCAACCATTAGGAGTTTCTAGCCTCAAGCCTGGTTAGTAATCATTTCTTCATACTTATTTCCAGTTGGAGTGGTTGGCAAAATTAAGACACTAGGCAAAGTTTCTCCTTTTAGGCCAAATTGAAGTGATGCTGGATCGTCGCCTGAACCAAGATGATGATCGAGGATTGTTCCAGGTGATCATATTAGAGTTTATTTCTTTGTTCGGTAGACTTTATTCCTCGATTCCAAACCTAATAGAGGCTAGTTTTTCTTAGGATGTCACGGATAACCACCGGACATTATCCCGCTTCCGTCTTCTCGTCGAACCTCTGGAACCGTCAGACAACAAAAATTCAGTGCAGGAACGACTAGGATTCCACTCAATGGTTGGTCTTGCTCAGAGCGCGGAACTTCATTATCCACCCATCCGAATGATTTCCAGCGGTAAGATATTTTGTTAGTGACACTACCTC